AAAAATGATATTTAGAACTTACTTTTTACACATTTACTTCAAAGTACACTATTGTGCTGTTATAAAAATAACCTTTAATTCAAAGGAAATAAAAAATTTCAAGTTTAAAGTTTTGAGACTGAACATAAAATACTTCAAATAAGAAATTTAAAATCACCCTTGTTCATTCTGCTTAGAAGTATCATTACAACAATAAGTTAAAATCAGTTTTGAATCTATTATTTTCCCTATTTTAACTTCTCCCCCTCTTTTGCAATTTCCTTAACTATGTGTTCCTTCTCTACAATGAAATTAAACATGGGAAGCATGCCAAAAGTACAATAAAGGGTAACTAATCATTACTGTACAAGTCTGACAGAATGCTAATAACTAAGATAAGAACACTGATTGGCTGTTTTACCACTCTAAGAGATGAAAATATTTTATATACTCTTAGTCTGGTGCTAATTTAAAGATGCTTAATTATATGACAAAATTTCCAAGGATATCAAACGACATTTCTTTTTCCTGACAGAAACAATTATCAACACCAAAGCTCAAATATCCAACACACACACACACACACACACACACACACACACACACACACACTCACACACACACACACTCACACCATACACAGGCGAAAAACCATCAAAAAACTTCAAAACATCCAGAACAACAGGGACAAAAACACCAAACCCAAACCACAAGCACTCAGATTAATTTTTGGTTAGCCTGTCTTTTGCATCCCCGAGTACAGTGAGTTTGTCATGTTCAATACGCTGTCTCCATAGAGACCGATCATGCCTGCTGTATTTGAATGAATGAATGAGTGGGTGAGGGAGGGAGGGAGCTAAACTGCCCTTAGTCACACAAGCACCATTTCAACTCTGTCTTAGGGACTCCAGAAAGAGTACTGGTCATGGTGGGAAAACTGATGTGAGTCTTGTGTAGTTTATGCCCCCAAGAAATGGACAAGCACGTATCTGCCTTAAACCTAATCCATGAGAGGATACTGCCAAGTGGTTTTCATTAAAAATGATCAGGGAACTGAAGATCTCCATTCTTTCTGCTGTTGGTAGTGGCAGTCAGAGTTTCTAGCATGCCAAGCTGGTGCCTCCCTCTGAGCTGCTCTCCCAGTCCTTCTATTGCATCGACACACTGAACATTTTAAATTTTTGACAGATCTTTCTGTTCAGATTATCAATTCTGAAGGTCTCTTAAGTAATACACAGTGCTGATGATGATTGCTAACATTTACTGAATGCCTATGATGTATCAGTACTTGGTGTTTTTCATCCTCTGAATTGTGTATTTTTTGGCCACATTTTTATAGATGAAGAAGCTAAGACTGAGAAAATTAACTAAGATCAAGTAATTTATTGAGCATTTCCACCTGCAAAAGCACATTATTATTTTTTTAAATCATTGAATACTGCTTTGTTCCCATCTTCCTTAATTCGATTCTAAGCCAGTATCTTTATGGAATAAGCAGCATAGAATGGTGGCTAAGTGAACATGAACTAGAGAGGAGCCGCTCAGGCCTAACTTCTGCTGTGCATCTTGAGAAAAGAAAACAGCATCAGCACATAGTATAAGGATTACATGAGTTACTATCTAAACAGAGCGTAGGATTACAACTGGCCTACAGTAATCACTTCACAAATTTCTATGAAACAATCTCAATCTTTCAGTTTTGTATATTCATATGCTAATTAGGTTGTGTGTGTGTGAGTGTGTGTGTGTGTGTGTGTGTGTGTGTGTGTGTGTGTAAGTGCACGTATGCGTGTGTAGAGGGTAGAAGTCAACTTTGGGTGTCATTCCTTAAGCATCAACCACCTCTACCTTCTTTTTTGAGACAGGGTCTGTCACCGAGACCTGGGGCTTGCAGCAAGCTGGAGGATCCACTTGTATCTTCCTCCCCAGTGCTAGAATCACCAGTGGGCATCACTGCATCTGGCTTTTTACATGGGTTCTGGGGACCGGACTCGGGTCTTCATGTTTACTGACTACACCACCTCCCCAGTGCTTCTGATTGAGCTTCTAAGCAAACTGCTACCAGTTCTTACTCTCTCTGCTTTCCCTTCCGGTCTTTGTAAGTTATCAAGAGTTTTATTCCCTACTTATATCTTACCTGATTTGAACAAATTGTTAAGTTACATTTGCTGAATGTATTGATACAAAAACAAATACATAGTCCCCCCCCCTTTTTTTTTAGTTTCTCGAGACAGGGTTTTGTAGCTGGAGTTTTCCTCCAGTCCTGCCTGGCCCACAGTCAGGACAAATCTCTTTCACCCGCCAGTCCCACAGCCACTCAGACCCGACCAAGTAAACACAGAGACTTATATTGCTTACAAACTGTATGGCCGTGGCACGCTTCTTGCTAACTGTTCTTATAGCTTAAATTAATCCATTTCCATAAATCTATACCTTGCCACGTGGCTCGTGGCTTACCGGCATCTTCATATGTCATGGTGGTGGCTGGCAGTGTCTCCCCCACTCAGCCTTCCACTTCCCAGAATTCTCCTCTCTCCTTTCCCGCCTATACTTCCTGCCTGGCCACTAGCCAATCAGTGTTTTATTTATATAGAACAATATCCACAGCAGGGTTTCTCTATGTACCCACCGTGGCTGTCCTGGAACTCGTTCTGTAGACCAGGCTGGCCTCAAACTCACAGAGATCCACCTGCCTCTGCCTCCCAAGTGTTGGCATTACAAGTGTACACCACCACTGCCCAGCTAAATATATAGTTTTTAAGGCAATTGTTTTTATAAACCATTGATAAGCAGGGCTAGAAACATGCCACTATATGATAGCTTTGTAGAACTGTGAGGAAATGAGAAATATTAGAAGGTGGGGGGGGGGTTTAATATCATTTTCCTTTCAGAGGAACACAGTCATAGTGCTTAACTTTAAACCCACTACCTGTCTGACCTTAAATCTTGTTATTTCTATCTCAGTAAGTTAAAAAGCATAAATTTAAAGACTACTGTTGTACAAAGGCTTACACGTCTCTACCCTTTGACTACCTGCTCTTGTCATTCAACCATCTGACCTGTGGTGTAGAGGCGCTGACATGAGAACTCCTACGGGTACTACTGTTGTTCCTTGGAACACAGGCTAAAGGAGTCTGTCAGAGACATCACAGTGGATGGGAGCTTTGACAGTAGTAATCACTTGCAACATAGCCTTTTGTTTTTTCTTAAAAAATTTTCATAGTCTTTTAAAAATAAATATAAAATTGTTATTTCACAACTGTTTTTCTTTACTTGCAATTTTGCAAAAGGAAACATATCCACGTATTTGTCCCTTGTCAAGAATGAAACTTTTGCCTAATCTTTCATATAATCTAATTTGTTGAGGACTTTGTAATGATAATTTTGTCCTTAAAAATACTAAATAATAGTGGTGTTAGCCAAGAGCTAAGCTGTAGGTTTTGTGATGGCTGAGAAGCTATGTGATGTAACTATAAAGATGGAAAGGACTAGAATCTGAGGGAAAAAAATGGGCCCTGTCATTTATCAATTGGATCACCTTGGGAAGCAGAACTAAGCATCTCACAGAGCTGTGGTAAAGACCCACGGACAGAAAGGCGCTGAGATGCTAGTGCCTCATAAGTAGCTGCAGCCACAACACAGCTGCAGGACAAGTATGAAGAGTTGAACTTTCACCTGTAGCTTCAGAGCTATCATCAAAAACAACAAGCTGACCGTCTGTAACCAAGCTATTATTGAAGTATTTACTTGAAAATAACATGATGAACAATGAAAACATTACAAGCATGTACAGCATGTTCAGCACTATTGGAGAAAGGAGTTTCCTTCCAATATTTATACATATTCAAGATCATCAATAACATAAAAATACATAATATTTTGTTATTAACATAATAAAAACATAGCTTATGCTTAAGAATTATTTGTTAAAAGCCTGCAAAGGAAACCCAAGCTAACCTATCATGTTTATTAAAAATAAATTCTACTGGCCAGTGAGTAGAAATTGTCTCATTATTTATGCCTCAGTTCTCAACCACAGCTTTGAGATATGTGTAGCATTACTATATATAATTAATGCAACTCAATGATATTTTAGTGAATTTATCATTTGTTGGAATGGTCTAGGTACGATAAAACAAAAACATATATGTAGTTTCAATAATTAAGTATTAGAAATAATTTTCCAAGGGAGAATCATTAATCCTTCAACTCACATTTACTGGTCATCTATCTAGGAAAAACCAGGCATTGTGCAAAGAAGTTTTTGGTCATATTAATATTACATTGTTATAAAGTCACATGAAGTCTGGCCTTGCCTTCATACAAGACTGTAATGTATAAGATATTTAAGATCACATGAAATTACATGTTTGAGATGATAAAGCACTTTGGTAAAAAAACCAAAAAATGTACTGCTTGCTCATGATGGCTCACATCTATAATCCCCGCACACCAGAGGACTGCCTCAAGGGCCACAGAGTAAAAAGAGGACCAGTGAAGTCTCAACACACATTTACTTAATGAATAATTAGAATGGTAGAAACCAGAAGTTGTTCAAAAACACAAATCAAAATTGTGTACAAAATTAAAAGAGGAATATGTTAACTCATGAATACAAGAAAAGAAATGTACAAAATATTTAGAAGAAAATAGGAAAAAATCTTAAGAGAGGCCAGGATCAATAAAGACTGAAGGCTAATGGAAATGACCAATTAAAAATCAATGAAACTCATCAAGATTTAAACCTTGTATTTTCAAAAGACTATTAAGAAAAAGGGATGTCACAGAGTGGAAGAAAACTATTGCAAAGCACATTGCTAAATACATAAAGGAACTTTATATAAAAAAAGTTACAAACTGATAATAAGATAAACCAATGAAAATGGACAAAAAACAAGAAAATATTCAAATAGCCAATGAGTACATAAAACGATGGCGAGTATCATTAGTGATAAAGAGAATGAAAATTAAAGCCACTTTGTCCTCCATTTCTTTACTGGATAAGGAAGACAAGGTCTTACCTGGATCAGATGCGTTGGCATTGTGATGATACAGGCTGACAGTGAGGTTCTTAGAAGGCCACGGAGAACGTAGAGGAACTTGGTAAGCCTGAGACTGTTGTCACAGTTTTCTGTACAGCAAATGTCATCTCCCCATAACGGTGAGCCAAGGTTCTGAATTCCTATTCTTAAAATGTTTTTCTGTTTTTTCTAAAAGACAGTGAGAGGAGGTAAATACATAGTTACTGCTTATAAATATAGAACTTCTTTATCTACTAGTTCTTATGTAAACTCACAGTAGATGTGGTACAAGCTGATGCAATCTTAGTAAGAAGAGAGTATCTAGAACATGCTTTAGATTATAAGAGCATAAAAGAAAGTAGGATAAAGCCAGTCTGTTACATCAACAGTTCCAGCTACTCAGGTTACTGGTGCAGGCCACTGACTGAGTGTAGGTGTTCAAGGTCATCCAGCAACACAGCAAACACTGTCTATTAACAAATGGAGAGGTTTTTTTAAAAAAAATTTTTCAAAAATTTGAAGGTCATGATAATAATCCAGTTTGATTTTTGTCCAAGGATTCTGTTTGAGACAGTTAAAACAACAGACAAATACTATGTGTTGTGATGCTTGCCTGTATTCCTAGCATTTGGGAGGTAGAGGCACAGGATTAGCCTCAGTTCAAGGCCAAAGTAGTTTATAAAACAAGTGCCAGGCCAGCCAGGTATATAAAGTAAGACTTGGTCTCCGAAACAAACAAAACAAACAAATAAACAACAATAATAGTAAAACCCCCAAATAATATTAGACATTGGAGGTAATGGTAGAGAAAAAGGTTAATTCAGAACCTTACAAATGTATTCCTAGCATTATAAAATTCTACATCTCTTCCAATGAACCATGAAGTCTATATTACTCATCTAGCTTTCTATTACCTGCCCTGTGAGCTTTTGTTTGAAAGGTGTTTACAGCTTTAAAACTTTTTGGTTTTATACTTTATATTTGCCTCTAGTTTTTTTTTAATTGGAGTTGTTTTTACTAATTTACTAATTTAAGTTCAGTGTTTTAACACTTAGCAAATGACTTTTAGAGACTACTGACATTATGGTTAAAATAATGGTGCCAAATAATTTTTTTTTAACAAAATATTTTAAAAAAGGATACTCCAAGCCGGGCGGTGGTGGTGCATGCCTTTAATCCCAGCACTCGGGAGGCAGAGGCAGGCGGATCTTTGTGAGTTCAAGGCCAGCCTGGGCTACAGAGTGAGATCCAGGAAAGGTGCAAAAGCTACACAGAGAAACCCTGTCTTGAAAAAAAAAAAAAAAAAAAAAAGGATACTCCAGGTGGTGGTGGCTCACACGTTTAATCCCAACACTCGAGAGGCAGAGGCAGGTGGATCTCTGAGTTCAAGGCTAGCCTGGTCTACAGAGCAAGCTCTAGGAGAGGCAATGGGCAGGGCTACACAGAGAAACCCTGTCTCAAAAAAAAAAAAAAATCCCCAAAAAACAAAAAAAGCAAGATACTTGTCAATAAGTATCTGACAACATATGTTTACAAGTTCTGCTGTTTGGGTTATTCTAACTGAAGAAATGTTTTGTAAATGCATTCCTTAGCAATCTAGCAGTATTTCTGGGTACAAAAAAGAGGTGTGCACAAAACATGGAATATGCAAGTATTTGGAAGATCATTATTACATTTGTGATGGAATAAATAAGGCGTTCTTTCTTTTTCCTTTCTTTCTTTCTTTCTTTTTTTTTTTCTTTCAAGACAGGGTTTCTCTGTATTGTTTTGGTGCCTGTCCTGGATCTTGCTCTGTAGACCAGGTTGGCCTTGAACTCACAGAGATCCACTTGGCTCTGCCTCCCAAGTAAGGTGTTCTTTCTTAAAGCCATGACTTCAGGTATGTGCCAGTTTAAAGGAGCTTTCTGAGGAAACAGGGCCCTAAAATGTATCACTCACTGTTGCTATAAAATAGCACTAAACATTATTAAGCCACAGTGATTATTAATCAGGTAAATCCATTTCCTAATAGAGGAGATAGAAATTGAGTCTGTGTATTCCCTTTATAAACAGAATTTATTGACAAAGGGTGATAGTACAAAAGAATCTAAACATTTGAAAGCCCAGGAGGACAAAAGTATTTAGGTAGGGGAATAAAACAGACGAGGAGTTTGGACTATGTAGTAGGTGTAAGATTCTGTATATACAGTCACTTCTTGGTATCCCTGGGGGCTCTCATTCTAAAGATTGCTTTGGATTCCCAAACCTATGTATGTTCAAGCCCTTTATACACAGCAATGAAATAATTGCATATAATACAGATATTTACCAAACTACTTTAAGTCATCCCTGAGATAAAGAATTATAATATACAATACAATATAAATGAAATTATATAAATAGTAGTTATACTGAGTTGTGTAGAAACCTAGCATGAGAAAACAATGTATATATTCAGTATAAATGGAAGTTTTCAGCTGCTTTTTATCTTGGTCATGAAGTGTTTAATTGTATTTGTGTATCATCCAGAAAAATGAAGTGAAAACATGCATGGGTAAGATATTAGAAGCACAAATATGGGAGGCGGCTATAAAGAGGACTCAGTGGTTTAGAGTGTGTGTTGCTCTTACAGAGGACCCACCTTCTCCTCCCAGAACCTGCAAGTGTAGATCCCAACCAGCTGCAACTCCAGCTCCAGGAGATCTGTGCCTGACTCACACATACATAAGCATACACACATGTTTAAGCATGCATGCTTGCACATGTATGTGCATGTACGTGCATGCACACACACATTAAAATAAGATAAACCTTACTACAATTATTAAAAATAAAAGTACAAGTATGTTTCTGGCAAATTTATGCACAGTATTTGTGAAATAAAGTGAGAAGATACTTCCTTTATTACTCAGAACTTACATTTAAGTAAATTGGTAAAAACCTAAGGCCTGCTTTGTTATTGCTAAACTTGTTATCTCATGGTAACAGGCCTAAGTTAGTTTCTCAATAGAGAGAACAATGGGGAAATAGAAACAGGGAATAAAAGCTGGAGGCATGTCCCAGTGGCGCAGTACTGGCCTAACATGTGCAATGCCCTGGGTTCAAGCCCTAGCACTGAAATGCTATCAATAAAGAACTGAAATAAAGAACCAATAGAAGGACAGATCAAACAGCTATGAGAATGAAATGTGAAGGTAGAGGAGAGCGGTGTCCAGAACCTAGAGATCACTGGTCTTTTAGCACATGGTCACTACTACCTACTATTGTGACAGAAAGAAGTTGCTAAATGGTAAAAACGCTTTTAGACATGGACTAAGTAGTTACAAATGCCTTGTGACTGACATGTACTAGTATATATACAGAGAAGGAATGAAAACAGAGTCAAATAATGAATGAATGATAAGATCTGTAAGTGCACATCAGAATAAAAATGAACATAACACTTCAACATAAAGAATATATTTTCATGAATATAATGGTATTTGCAGAAACAAAAGCTGAATCTCTTATGTTATCTCAGATATTAGTTTTTAAAATATAAAATGTAGCTGATAGTTACACAGTAAATACATTTATTCCCGTAAGAAAGAATATCTAATGTTTAATCTAGTATGCCAAGTTAAAAAAAATCAATGTTCAAATGATATTATAATACAGTTTTTAAATGTTTCCACCCAAATATATTTATAGATGAGCTACACAATTTAACTTACTACCAAGGTTAATTATAGATTACAGAAAATAGATAATGGTCTTTTTTATAGAGCGTATTTTAACTGTTTTATTCAACTAGTTCAAATTATTTGAAAGTTCAATGAAGAGAAAATTTCTCTTTCAAAAGTTGGACTCACTTCACTATCAGAATATTATTTTGACCCAGGAACACCACTGCTTAAAAAGAGCACCTACTTGCCCATCCTGAACTTGTCTGCAGTTTCTGAGACAGATGTACAGACCAGGGACCGTGGCAAGCAACACACTCCATGAGGTAATACCTCAGTAACGACACTGTAGTTCTAAGAAATAGCAAGTTGACTTTTCAATGACTTATTGGTATATTTAAATGTAATTTGAAAATCCCAAGCATTTTTGGTATTCACTATAGAAACGTTCACCTCAATTCTGTCTGGTCTTTATGGAAGTTAGCTGTTATACAGCCTCCCACCACCAGGGAACTAAATGTTCTCCATTTTATTTTCTATCCATTTTCAAGAATAAATCAATTGTTTCTTGAGAGTGGTGTGCTTTTTCCACACACAAATAAACAAGGAAACAATCTTGATTTTGTTTCAACACAATGTTAGTTACTAAGGACTCTTAGGTTTCTTTCTAAGGTGCTTATGTACATATTCCTTGGCAAAGAATAAAGTGATTCCTGTTACTCTTTCACGTTTTATAAATTTCTTGCTTTCAGAAGAGGTGTCATCATTCTGCAAGAGCAGCAGCTCTGCACACTGCACCATAGGAACTGTTATGACATGCCTGTTTCCATAGCTACCACCGCAAGTGGGGAAAGGTGTCTGTCAGGGACCAATTTGCCTCTCCAGATGCACACTGGCACCAAAAGAAGAGATGGAACCCATAAATCTCAGCTAGGACCAAAAACTGCAGTCATAAGGAATGAAGTAAAACTGCATTAAATACCAGCGGTCACTACAAACACTATTGGAAACACTAAAAGCTACCTATAGATAAATGCTTTCCAGATACACATAAATAGTTTAAACCTGCTATTAAACTAGAAATCAAATCAATTTAAAAATTATTTATTTTGTGATGGAGAAATTATTAAATATACAAGTAAATTGATAAAAAATTTTAAATTTATGAATTGACAGCAAATATAAAGATGCTAAAAATTAGTTTCTAGCTTCTTTGTCTTCATTAAAAACAACTGTTGTGGAGATACACTTGTCAAAATAACATACATATCTGAAAGTAATACAATAATACAAATCTTTTTGTGTCAAGTGCAATTAAAATAACTGAGAAAAATCTTTGGAAGGAATGATGTTTAACAATAAAACTTTCTCATTTGTTTAAATTAAACTAAGTGGAACATCTTCAGTAGTGGGAATTTGGAGAAAGTGGAAAATTAGAGGTACAGATACCAGTTATGCTATAAAATATAACAAAAACATCTTTTATTCAATGAAACAATTCAAAATATAATGTAACAAGTCATAAATCTTGTGGTAATGCTTACACATAAGGGAATTTGGAATTAAGGTTTGAATAACAGAAATAACATTTTAACAGAAAAATATGAACCTTGTAGTGTTAGAAATAATTAAAAAGCATAATTACTTATTAATCTCAGAAGCTATAAATAGGTATTTAAAGACAATCAGCACTGACAAAGCATGTGATTGTTTTGTGTGCATTCTGAGAACCCAGCCAAAACTCTGAATACACCCAAACACTTCCTACCCATTTACACTGTCTGTGAAAACAGGGTGCACATTATTGATTTTCCTCAGGCTCTCCAAGCATGCCCCAGAGATCTGAAAATAACATTCTGTACATGACTAAAGAAGGCTTTGGAAGTACTCATACCTGGGGATTAGAACCATCAAATCCTTCAGTATAAATGACATTCTGGATGAACTGAAGCAGCTTCATATAGCCTCGGGACAAAGAACTGTTGGTAAGAAGTGATTCAAATACATAAATGGGCTTACTACACAGAAGTAAAATATCTATTCAACAACAGTAAGTAAACAATTAAAAGTATGAATTTATTGGAATAGTTAAGTATAAAAAATGCATCAAATTAATGTCAGATAATTTAAAATAGGAAGCCAATACGTAAAAAGGGAGCAAGTTACATCATCTCATACTAAATTGCTTAATTTTTGACATTATGGGAGGATAAAAATCTGTGGAGACTGAGATGACTTAATTATGTCGGGCTTAGTTAACTCCAAGAAAATTAATGATTTAATGAAGCAACCTAAAAGATGAAGCCACCATAGCTTTTCAGGAGTAATCATACATAATTAACACATAGTTAATGAACTGCTAAGCCACTCACTCCCAAATCAATGTCCCGGTCACCTGAGCTCATCTTCCATCAAAGTTTTAATTTTCTTAGAGCAATCTGCTAAAATAACTTAATAATTTGAATTTTTAGGACACATTAAGATAAACAGCGTAATCTACTAAATTTATTGTTTACCCACTTCTTTTGTTAAAAGAAGATGCAAAAATAAATGCATGGATTTAAGAAGACATCTAAATTATTTCTCATATGGTAAAGCTTTGTGTATTACTTTAAAAAAAGTAAAATAATTTTTTAAGGTGCACTTGGGACTTAAAAAGAACACTTGAGATCTATCCCTTGTAAATGTGAGATGTTTCAGGGAAAACTTAGAAAGACTAAAGAACACCTGCTTCCTGAGTGCAGTTAAGAAGTGCAGCAGCCCATTTGCTTAGTCTGCAACATCAATAGAAGTTGACTCAGCAAAAATACATGTACATCTCAGTACATGTGTGCGCTCCTGAACAGCTGCCACTGACTTCAAAGTCCCTATCTTGCAGAAACAGAATGAACATGAGAAAAGAAAGCTTTTCTGTACAAAACAAATGTGACTCCAGGAGATGAATAGGCATGTTTCATGTGGTTACTGCACCCTTCAGGGACAACACAGGCTATGTGGACATGATTTTCTACTTTTATGTGAAGAACATGTCTATAAATAACTGTGTAAGGACAATTTTGTAAGTGTCCTGTGTCAGCACACATTTTTTGGTTAGTTCAACTTTCAGAATACAGTGCTATTATGTGAATGCAATGGATGCAATTTTCATCTGGGTAAATTAGCTTTACACAGGGGGGCTAGATCTGCTCTAAGATCCCAGATTATGAAATACATTGCAGCTACCAATCTGATGAATCTCACTATGGGTTGAAAGATTGCATATGTACACCCAGTCCCTCCTAATGCATTAACAGAGACTCTGAATGTCCTCTTTTATCCATGTTGTAGAATACAAGATTCTTTTTCAAGGTTAAATAGTACTCTGGCACACGTTTGTGTGTATACCATAGTTTTTCATTTATCTGTTGATTTTCTTGGCTGTAATGAACACAGAATGCAGCTATCCCTTCAATACACTGAATTCATTTCTTTAGATATAAAAGTAGTACTAGTAGATAACAATAGTTGTACTTTGAATTTTGTGATGAAGTGTCATACTGTTTTCTAAGTTTATACTAATTTCTACATCTACCAAGTTTACAAAGATTTCTTTTCTTTACATTTTCACCAATACTTACCCTTTACCTTGTTGATAACAGCCACTGTAATAGTTGCAAGGCAACATCCCATTGGGGCTTTAATATACATAATGATACATAAATGATGAAAAATATACATAATATACATAATACTCCAATGACTAGTGATATTGAGGGTCTTTCCCCCCATAGCTCTGTTGTTTACTTGTATGTCTTTTTTTTTTTTTTTTTAGAATACTGTCTACTCAGGTCCTTGCCTGTTTTTAAAATCGACTTTCTTTGCCATTGAATTGTTTGTGTCTATAAAAATATGAGGTATTCAGCCAGGTGGTAGTGGTGCACGCCTTTAAACCCAGCACTTGGGAAGAAGAAGCAGGTGAATCTCTGTGAATTCGAGGCCAGCCTGGTCTACAAAGTGAGTTCTAGGACAGGCTTCAAAGCTATATAAAGAAACCCTGTCTTGAAAAACCAAAAAAGAAAACCAGTAAGTATTAAGCTCTCTCTCAGATGTTCTCTCTCTTTCATTTTCCCCTCTCATTCCTTAGATTGTCTCTTGATCTTGTCCAATATTTCATTTTGGAGAATTGTAAGTGAAGGCATAAAACCAATACCTCTGAATCACTTTATTTATCACCAACATAAAACAATCCACTAGCTAATGATGCTTAGGATCTTTTAAGTAGTAAATTTCTTGAATTAATTGAAGTTTTTAGAGAGTAAAGTTTTTGCAAAAATAAATTTATGTATGATAATTACTAATATAACTTCTGAATGAATACGATAAAATCATTTAAAATGAGATTTGTGCCTTACTAAAATACTAAGCACTACTACTTACTTCACATAGCTAGTCTATATTTATAAAAACCATAACATATATACATATTGATAAAAATAAGTACCTTCTATCTCCATTGGAAATTTTGGCTCTCCAAATTATTATTGGTTCTCCAATGTTGAGAAATTTTAGTGTGTGTGTGTGCATGCGCATGTGCACATGTGTCTAGTGATAGGAGTTTGCAAGAAGGATATTTGTCTACAAATAAGACAATGGCTTTGCTATTACTATTTCCAAACATTTAACAAAGTTTTGACTATTTCAAATATTTAAAGGCTGTCCACTTTTAAAATTATTATTTACTTCTATGTGCATTGGTGTTTTTACCTGCATGTATGTCTGTGTGAGGGTGGAACTGGAGGTACAGACAGTTGTGAGCTGCTATGTAGGTGCTGGGAGTTGAATCTGGGTCCTTTGGGTTCTTTGGAAGAGCTGTCAGTACTCTTAACCTCTGAACTGTCTTTCCAGACCCATAGCAGTCCATTTTGAACCACACATACATACTATTTTGCTTTACTCATAATTTTAAACAATTTTTATATTAAAATGAGCTAACTTCAATTCTATGTGTTTAAAGCTATCACAATATATAGAAATATAAAGCATACAAATAGTAATTTGAACTAATTTCTAAGATTTATTTTTATTAGTAGTGTTTTGCCTACATGTGCATGACTGTGCCTGATGTCAGAAAGCGGCATTAGATTCTCTGCAAATGAAGTTATAGATGATTATGAGCTACCATGTAGGTGCTGGGAATCAAATTCCAGTTCTCTGCAAGAGTAACAGGTGCTCTCAATCACTCAACTAGCTCTGTAGCTTTGGAACTAATTTTGAACCTTAAAATACCAAGTACTTACAATTGGGCAACAGGAGAAAGATACATTTTGTCTTTAAAAAGATAACTATTTTGTCTGTTAAAAGATAAATTACAAATATAAAATAGAATATGGAATCACAATAAGTAGTTGATAAGAGAAAAATTTACAGGCAGAAAGCAGACTTTTGGTATACTGTTTAAGAAGCCTACCTGATTTTAGTCATTTCAGTTAATAAAATGCTTGGTACACAGTAAATACTGAAGAGACTTTGGTGTCACAGCATTTGATGGATACCTTGTGATAAAAGTACAGTCATTATCCTTATTTTGTGGTTGGGAAAATTAAGGCTCATTATAGGATAAATGATTTGTCTAAGGCTATATATCATTAAGTGACAGAAATGGCATGTAAAATGAAAATATTTGCTGGGCACGGTGGTGCATGCCTTTAACCCCAGTGCTTGGGAGGCTGAGGCAGGCAGACCTCTGCTGAGTTTGAGGCCAGCCTAGTCTACATAGTGAGTTTCAAGTAGCCAGGGCTATATAATGAGCATGTCTCAACATAAACCAACCAAACAAACCTGAAAACATTCTAAAGCTGTGACAATTTGCTCTTTCAGTTACACTATGTTAAAGCCTCTGAATGAAGTGCTTGAGGAGTCTAAGGGGTTCACAAACACTGCTGTGGTTCACAGGAACTTAGAGTATGGTTTCATTCAACTCATTAAATGAAGCACTCCAGATTGCAGTTGTAGGGAGAGAGCTTCTAGCTATACCCGTGAAATCTTCAACCAACGTGCCTCGGTTGTACTTAACTTTGAGTGTAATAAAATAAGGGAAATTTTCATACTACTTGATAACTGAGCACCACCACACACACAGCAACAAGGCCTTGGGAGGCCTCGCAACTAGCTCTGGCTTGACCTGTGCCAACAACTCAGCTCAAGGTGTGACACAGGCAACTTGAAATTTTCTCTTGTCTCTCTTATCCACCATGATTTTAAAATTATATGGTTCAAGAATGCTTTTTCTCATTAAAGTAATTTGCTAGGATTTAAAAATAAGAAACTCTGGCCACTTAAATATGTGTTTAACAACCTGATAGAAATATTTGAGAGAAAAGCAGAGCCATATAGAAAATTAGGACTATCATCCTCAAAAATTATCATCCATAATTACAAATTAATTAAAATAAAGATGAAGCACCTTTTCACATTATTTTGAAAGCCAATGGGAAAATAAAATTTATCTTACCAAAGTTCTATTTGCATGTGTACTTCAAGGATTCAACTATGACAAGTATATGACACTTTATAAGGCAATAGGTACAATACATGCCTCAACTAATTGTATAAAATACTTTGCTGAGCTAAAGGTCTATTAGCATATAATTTGCATGTGATTCCAGAGATTGTGAAGTCTTTTCACAAGTAATTTTCAAGTTAAAAATTTCATTAGGATTACCCTGAAGGCTGTCACTTACTGGTTTTTCTTTTCCTGCTTTCACCTACCATGGAATTTGCGTCTGACTATGGAAGTTCAACTACGAGAGAAGGATGCAGAGTCTAAGAAAGCATTCAAGAGTGTGAAGACATCAATGACCAGCAGAGACCTCTGAACCACAGTTGGAAAAAATACTTCCCGCCATGGCTAAGCAATTCCCTGTTTGGCATGGAGACTGCTAAGTGAAGATATGATAATCTCTATGAAAAATAATTCAGACTGACACTACATTGCCTCCCG